TGAGGGAATGGACACCCCCCCCCCCCTTTAGAGACGGTTTACACTATAGAAACGCAGTCCAGATGCGTTCTATACGTAACTGCTCTGAAATTGCACAGAGTGCTCCCAAATCTCCTCTTCCCTGCTCCTCTTTGTCCAGCGCCCCCATTGGAAGCTGCTCACTCCTAAGCCCAGCTGCTGCGTCCATAGACACAGAAAGCGGGACTCAGCCCCACCCCCTACTACCTCATCACTGGCTTTGATTGACAGCAGTGGGAGCCCATGGCTCTCAGTGCTCCAGCAAGGCCAGTAAGACACGGTGAGGGGAGAGAGGAGCTGAAGACTTGCATAGTGCTGGATCAAATGAGGGCTCAGGTCAGTAAAAGGTGGGGTGAGGGACCAAAACCGATGCCTAAACATTTTTTTACCATAAGGCCGAGGTGCAACTTGGCATGTGATTTGCCATACCATGCAACTTGCAAATCGCATGGCAAGCCACACCCTTTTGTCCGCAATTACAGCAGTCATATCGGTGCGATTCCGACTTGGTCACAAGCAAGATTTTAAAAAACGCACCAGACCTGCAACTGATCAGTGTGAAGAGTCCCATAGGAATACATGGTCACACATTTTTCTTTTTATTATATCAATATAATTATACAGATTTATGTAGCGCCAGCAGTTTGCGCAGTGCTTTACAATATAAAGGGAGACAGTACAATTACAATACAATTAGGTACAAGAGGAACCAGACGGCCCGGCTCGATAGAGCTTACAATCTAGGAGGAAGGGTTGAGTGATACAAAAGGTAATAGCTGTGGGGGGGGGGGGGGGATGAGCTGATGGAGGAAATAAATGGCGGTTTACTAGGTAGAAGCAGGATAGGCTTCTTTAACCAATTGCCCTCCAGAAGATTTACCCCCCTTCCTGACCACGCCATTTTTTGCAATACGACGCTGCGTCACTTTAACTGACAATTGCGCAGTCATGCAATGTTGTACATTGCATGACATTGCGCATCCCTGCCGCCCGGTAGCAGTACTTCTGCTATAAGGCAGTCAGGAAGCAGTTAAAGAGAAAGGTTTTCAGGGATTGTCTAAAGGTGGTTAGATTAGGAGATAGCCGGACAGATTTGGGTAGGGAGTTCCATCAGATGACAGGGGAGAGATCTGTGTTGTTTACACACAGTTTACACACAGTTCTGCTGATGATCACCTGGTCCAAACCAGGGGCGGACTGACAACTCATGGGGCCCCTGGGCAATAGGGGATCATGGGACCCCTGTGTCCTTGCCCACACAAAAAAAACTATTAAAAAATCCTCCTCTTCTTAGGTCCTCCACCACAGTTCCTGACTCTGACCCCCTGCTAAGTGCCCCCATAGCAAGCCTCTCTCCAGGGAGAGAGCCCTGAGAGTTGCTGCTCTCAGGCACATCGCTGGATCGAGATTTGGTTCAGATAAGTATTAGGGGGAGCCAGGGGCGGACTGACAACTCATGGGGCCCCCGGGCAATAGAGGATCATGGGGCCCCTGTGTCCTTGCCCAAACTCAAAAAAGCCTATGTAAAAGGTACCAGGGGCATTTCATGGGGCCCCCTACTGACCCCGGGCCCTCGAGCAGTGCCCGAGTGCTCGAATGGTCAGTCCGCCCCTGGTCCCAACCAAGAATCGTCTGCTGGGACCCAGTGATTGACATGCCGAGGAGCCAATAGCGGCTCTGGTAGGGAGCGCGCACGTGTGTGCCCGCTCCCTACCCAGAGGTACAAAATCTCGTATATATACGTGATTTCGTGCATGCATTCCTGCCGCCCTGTAGCAGTACCTCTGCTATAGGGCAGTCGGGAAGCGGTTAAAGAGAAAGGTTTTCAGGGATTGTCTAAAGGTGGTTAGATTAGGAGATAGCCGGACAGATTTGGGTAGCAAGTTCCATAAGATGGGAGAAGCTCGGGAGAAGTCCTGGAGGCGAGCATGCAAGGAGGTTCACACGAGAACTAGGGAGCAGAAGGTCTTGGGAGCAGTTTGGCTGATATTTTGAGACCAGGTTGGTGATGTAGCTGGGGGCAGAGTTGTGGATGGCTTTGTAACAGGGGCGGACTGACCATTTGCAAACTTGGGCACTGCCTGAGGGCCCAGGGTCAGTAGAAGGCCCCATGAGATGCCCTGGTACCTTTTCCATAGGCTTTTTTGAGTTTGGGCAAGGACACAGGGGCCCCATGATCCCCTATTGCCCGGGGGCCCCATGAGTTGTCAGTCCATCCCTGCTTTGTAAGTTGATTTTTAACGCAACAGCAGAAGAAAAAAGGGATCAGAGTGAAAGCAGCCTTATATGTAATGCAATCTAAGGGCAGAGCTCTCGAGAATCAGAATATTCACCCAACATGGACAAGTGTGCACGATACAATGCTGCAGCTGGACTATATAATCAGGCCACCTAGAAATGAATGGGATTCGAACTGGAATTGTGTGTTGCTGCAGCAAAATTCCCAAACATAACCAGCTTCCTTAGTGTTCTTTGTAAAGCAAATGCATAAAATCATTTTTCATTCCATCTTATTAAAAAAAAATGAGTGGACACCCTCCCTAAAATGAAGCTGCTCATGATACACTCAATGCACCTTAAGCGCCGGTAGAGACGCCATAAATGGGGCTGTCTGATCCAATTCAAGCCTTTCATCTTTCATTCTTTCTTTTTCCAGCACATCATTTTTATCTTTGTGCATTACGACTGCCTTTTATTCACTGCTCTCTGATGTAGAGTCATTAGTGCATTTGAAATAAATGTCAACAGCGCTGACTTATCACCCCTTACATGAGCACAGCACACAACAGTTAAATATTGATTGCAGGGAGCCCGAACACTTTTGTTAGCGGATTAAAGGGCCACTATCAGCCCAACTTGGAAAGAGATACATAATTACATATTTATATAGCGATATAGCGATCTGGTTTCTTTATCTGCATATCTGCTTTACAAAGGAAACTATAATGTGTTTTAAGTGAGTACACATTTTGAACCATTATCTATTTTCCCTGGAAGCCATTTTTTTTTTATGGAGAAGTTTATATTCATCCTCATCTCTTAGGGCATGCGAATGGGTGGCTGCAAAATGACACAGCTGAGCCTCATTTTTACCACCCCAAGAGCCGCTTCCCCTTAAAGTTATTTGAAAGGGTTTTTTTCTTTTTTTTGGAAAATAACAAACATGCCTATACTTACCTGCTTTCGCACAGAGCAGCCTGGATCCTCCTCTTCTTGGGCCCCCCGCAGACTCTCCTAGTTCCCTCTTCTTGTCAGGTGCCCCCCCCACAGCAAGCAGCTTGCTATGGGGGCACCAGCTCCTCCATGTATCCAGGGCAGGGGCGGACTGACCGTTTGGAAACTTGGGCACTGCCCGAGGGCCCGGGGTCAGCGGAGGCCCCCTTGAGATGCCCCTGGTACCTTTTTCATAGACTTTTGAGTTTGGGCAAGGACACAGGGGCCCCATGATCCCTTATTGCCTGGGGGCCCCATGAGTTGTCAGTCCGCCCCTGATCCAGGGGCGTATTTACCACAAGGCAAACAAGGCATTTGCCTAGGGCGCCATTTTTTCAGGGGGGCAGCAGCATTTTTCAGGGGAGCAGCTACATTTTTCAGGGGGGCAGCAGCATTTTTTTCTGAGGGGCAGCACTGCCCCCCAAAGGAATTGCTGGAAGAAAGGACACACGCAGCATGGTAATCAGGTGGGATCTGAGAGAGGCTAGAGGCTGCTTAATGGTGTATGCAGAGCCTGACTCTTGTTCCCGGGGATGTCCAGAGCTGTGAAGGTGAGTGTCTTCTCTCTTGCCAGGGTGGGGGGGTTGCCAGTGTGTATGGGGCAGTGGTAGTGGAAGGCTCTCTCTGGTGGGCCTGGGGTGGGTGTGTTGTTGGTCAATGTCAGGCTCTTATCGTGGGGGAGGGGGGTGTTTTCAGTGTCAGGGTCTCTCCGTGGGTGGGTGGGGGAGCCGATTTTTGTGTTGTCTAGGGCAGCACGAAACCTAAATACACCACTGCAGGTATCCATTCACAGATGGAGCCGCACCGCCTCTCTCTCCTTATTGGCTGACTGGCTGTGATTGACAGCAGCGGGAGTCAATGGCTCCCGCTGCCGTGTCAGCCAGTGAGGAGAGGAAGTCCCAGGACAGCCAAGGCTCTCGTGCATATGGCTGGAACAGGTGAGTATTGGGGGTACTGTGTGTGTGTGGGGGGGGGGCTGTGGCTCCCACTTGCTGTATTATCCAATGAGGAGGCAGAGACCCGAGACAGCCAAAGCTGTCATGCACATCGCTGGGTCTCTAGGGGGTTCAGGAAAGTATTGAGAGGGCTGGGGGCACTGCTGCACACAGAAAGATTTTTTTACCTTCATTTATAGAATGCATGAAGGTAAAAAAAAATCTTGAGCATTTAAAACCACTTTAAAGTGGTTGTAAACCCTTAAATATACCTAGTGAAGTGACTGGCCTCAGGTGATACAGAGAGAAGAGAGAAAGCCTTCTGCATAAGTTGTACCTGTTTATCTGTACCATATCTCCTGTAAATCCATTCAAAGTTAAGAATTTACACAGGATCTCCCAACTCTGAAAATTACACTCTGCAGAGCTCAGTGAGAGCTGATTGGAGGGAAGAGACCCGCGTATACCAGGAGTACAGTATACAACGCTCTTTTGATTAATGCATCTGGTGAGTGCGCACTCTGTATGTTTAATACATCCACTTAAGGAGAAATAATACTCTGGGACTTTACGAAAGTCATTTGAAGATCCACACCAGTCCAAGAAATTTTGGACATTATATTACCACCACGCATGTCACGATTATGCGTTTCTCATAAACATCTACACTTTAATTTATTTGTTCACTTTTAGATTATTATTGTTATCATTGATGTTTATTACATATTATATGCAAAACGCATTTATCCCATACATACGTTTATAAGACAAAAATTGGTTATTTCTGTTTAATACTAGCGCTGCACCAGTATCTATTTATCGATTTATCTGAAGGCTTTTTGGTTTACCTTTTAGTGTGTTCAGCTGCTTATTTTATACATTTGGTTTTAGGATTAGCACTTGCTTCATTTTTCTATTATTTTTTTAGTTTGGGCAAGGACACAGGGGCCCCATGATCCCCTATTGCCCGGGGACCCCATGAGTTATCAGTAAGCCCCTGAATGGACTAGTATATTTATTTAACCTATCAAATTTTATAAATTTGTAACTACGTATCAAAGAGAAGGCAAATTTATGAAATACCTTCTTCAGCTCTGTGTACACAAAGGAGCATGGGGGAGCTCTTGTCCATAATGGGCATGGTATTGACACAACTCCAGATGATCCACATTGGCTCACAATTGATATGATCCAAAAATATTTAAACAGAATAAAGGTGAATAAAGCACCTGGACTGGATGACATACACCCACGGGGCCTTAAAGAATTGAGCTATGTCAATTCAAAGCCATTGTTTCTCATTTTTAGGGACTCTTTAATGACTGGCATAGTACCACTGGATTGGCATAAGGCCAATGTGGTGCCAATATTTAAAAATTGGTCAAAATATTTACCAAGTAATTATAGACCTATTAGTTTAACATCTATAGTTGGGAAGATACTGGGGAGTTTAAAAAAAGACCACATAGATGACTTCTTGCTGGAAAAAAACATTTTAAGCAACAGACAGCATGGATTCATGAAAGACAGAAGTTGTCAAACAAATCTGATTTCTTTTTATGAGGAGGTGAGAAAACCTTGGACAACGGGGTGGCGGTGGACGTGGTATACTTGGACAGAGGGGTGGCGGTGGACGTGGTATACTTGGACAGAGGGGTGGCGGTGGACATGGTATACTTGGACAGAGGGGTGGCGGTGGACATGGTATACTTGGACAGAGGGGTGGCGGTGGACGTGGTATACTTGGACAGAGGGGTGGCGGTGGACGTGGTATACTTGGACAGAGGGGGGTGGCGGTGGACGTGGTATACTTGGACAGAGGGGTGGCGGTGGACATGGTATACTTGGACAGAGGGGGTGGGCGGTGGACGTGGTATACTTGGACAGAGGGGTGGCGGTGGACGTGGACGTGGTATACTTGGATTTTGCAAAAGTGTTTGACACAGTTCCCCACACACGGCTAATATGTGAAGTAAAGTCTACAGGCTTGGAAAAACCCGTATGTAAATGGATAGAAAACTGGCTAAAAGATCGTATTCAAGAGCAATGGTTAATGATTCATACTCTGAATGGTCTGGGGTCATCAGTGGTGTACCCCAAGGTTCAGTGTTGGGACCATTACTTTTTAATATATTTATAAACAATATAGGGTCTGGGATTAACAATCCCATTTCAGTCTTTGCAGATGACACCAAGCTGTGCAGTGGAATAACGTCCTTACAGGATGTCTCCAATTTACAAGCCAACCTCAATGCCAGTGGAGTATTTAGGTTTTGTGCTGCCCTAGGCAACACAAAAATTTGCTCCCCCACCCACCTACGGAGAGACCCTGACACTGACAAACACCCCCCTCCCCCACGATAAGAGCCTGACATTGACCAACAACACCCCACCCCAGCCCCACCAGAGAGAGCCTTCCACTACCACTGCCCCATACACACTGGCAACCCCCCCCCCCACCCCAGCGAGAGATAAGACACTCACCTTCACAGCTCCAGACATCCCCGGGAACAAGAGGCAGGATCTGCTTACACCATCAAGTAGCCTGCAGCCTCTCTCAGATCCCATCTGGTTACCATGCTGCATGTGTCCTTTTTTACATCTCTTCTTTCGGGGGGCGGTGCTGCCCCCTGAAAAATTCTGCTGCCCCCCTGAAAAAATACCGCCCTAGGCAAATGCCTTGTTTGCCTTGTGGTAAATACATCCTTGCTCAATGCACTGTGTAATTGGGCAACTATGTGGCAAATGAGGTTTAATGTTGATAAATGTAAGGTTATGCACTTGGGGGCTAAGAATATGCATGCATCATACATACTAGGGGGGTAAAACTGGGGGAATCAATGGTGGAGAAGGATCTGGGGGTTCTGGTAGATCACAAGCTTAATAATGGAATGCAATGCCAAGCTCCGGTTTCTAAAACTAGCAAAATCCTCTCTTGTATTAAAAGAGGTATAGACCCCAGAGAGAGATATCATATTACCCCGGTACAAATCATTAGTAAAACCTCATCTGGAATATGCAGTTCAGTTTTGGGCACCAATTTACAAAAAAGAACATTGGGGAACTGGAGAAAGTACAGAGAAGGGCAACCAAACTGATAAGAGGCATGGAGGAGCTCGGCTATGAGGAAAGATTAGAGGAACTGAATTCATTCTCTCTTGAGAAGAGGAGATTAAGGGGGATCTGATCAACATGTATAAATACATCAGTGGTTCATATAGTGATCTCGGTGTAGAGGTATTCATCCTGAGGTCATCACATAGGGCTAGGGGGCACTCTTTATGTCTGGAGGAAAAGAAATGTAATCTCCAAACATGGAAAGGTTTCTTCACAGTGAGAGCTGTGAAAATGTGGAATAGACTCCCTCAAGAGTTGGTTCTGGCCAGCTCAGTGGATTGCTTTAAAAAAGTCCTGGATTGTTTCTTGGATACACAGAATATAACTGGATACTAACATTTATAGATAAAGTTGATCCAGGGAATATCCGATTGCCTCTCGGGGGATCAGGAAGGATTTTTCTTCCCTGCAGGAGCAAATTGGAACATGCATTGCTGGGTTTTTTTGCCTTCCTCTGGATCAACTGTGGCTATGCTAATTACACTCTTTTTAACATATGGAGGATGCATGATCACAAAGCCCAGCAACTGGTGTTGACCGTGTTTGGATGGATGGATGAAGGGTCAGTCCACCCAAGAATGATATTTCATTTTTTTGGTAGATGCTGAAGCATCAAACCATTTGACAATTTCTTCTATTTCTTGGGGACTCTGTTTGTGAGATCTCTTGGTTGAGTCTCTGGGTCTGCACACTTGCTACGTGCATTATGAGTGGCTCTCACAATGTAACACAGAAGACAAATGGGACATTTAAATATGCACTCCACAAGTTTTTTCAACTTTCATAAAACATATACCTGTATATAAAACTAATAGTTTTTTTTTGTTATAATTTTTGTTAAAATCCTCCATTAAATCAAAAACACTGGAATTTACAATTGTACATATGACAGAGTTAAAAAACATGACGTTACTTATTCCATGGGTTTTCTGCTTTCTACTTGGGATGTATTTTCATATTGATCCTCAAGATAATATCAATCCATCTATAAGAATGAAAAAAAAAATATATATATATATAGATATATATATCTATATACAGTTGCAAGAAAAAGTATGTGAACCCCTTGCGATTACGTGGAGTTTTGCATGAATTGGGCATAAAATGTGCTCTGAACGTCATCTAAGTCACAACAATAGAAGAACACAGTCTGCTGAACATAATACTACACAAACATTAGATGTTGCCATGGTTTAATTGCACATAACATGTAAACATTCACAGTGCAGGGAGGAAAAAGTATGTGAGGCCCTAGCTTAATGACTTCTCCCAGAGCTAATCGGAGCCAGGAGTGAGACAACCTTGACTCCAATCAGTGTGATGATATTGGATGTGTTGCTGACAGCTGTCCTGCCCTTAAAAAACACATACCTGTTTTGGGTTTACTGGTTTCAAGAAGCACTTTCTGATGTGAACCATGCCTCACAGAAAAGAGCTCTCAGAAGACCTACGATCAAGAATTGTTGACTTGCATGAAGCTGGAAAGGGTTACAAAAGTATCTCCAAAAGCCTTGATGTTCATGTGTCCACGGTAAGACAGACTGTCTACAAATGGAGAAAGTTTAGCACTGTTGCTACTCTCCCTAGGCGCGGTCGTCCTGTAAAAATGACTGCAAGAGCACAGCGCAGAATGCTGCATGAGGTAAAGAAGAATCCCAGAGTGTCAGCTAAAGACCTACAGAAATCTCTGGCACATGCTAACATTTTTGTTGACACATCTACAATAAGGAAAACATTAAACAAGATTGGAGTACATGGGAGGACACCACAGAGGAAGCCATTGCTGTCCAAAAAGAATATTGCAGCACATTTGAAGTTTGCAAAAGAGCACCTGGATGTTCCACAGCACTACTGGCAAAATATACTGTGGACAGATGAAACCAAGATTGAGTTGTTTGGGAAGAACACACAACACTATGTGTGGAGAAAAAAAGGCACAGCACACCAACATCAAAACCTCATCCCCACTGTAAAACATGGCGGAGGGAGCATCATGGTTTGGGGCTGCTTTGCTGCCTCAGGGCCTGGGCGGATTGTTGTCATTGATGGGAAAATTAATTCCAAAGTTTATCAAGACATTTTGCAGGAAAACGTACGACCATCTGTCCGCCAACTAAAGCTCCGCAGAGGATGGGCGATGCAACAGGACAATGACCCAAAGCATACAAGTAATTCAACAAAACAATGGCTGCAACAGCACAGAATACGCCTTTTGGAGTGGCCCAGTCAGAGTCCTGACTTCAACCCGATTGAAATGCTGTGGCATGACCTTAAGAGAGCGATTCACACCAGACATCCCAAGAATATTGCTACACTGAAACAGTTTTGTGAAGAGGAGTGGTCCAAAATGACTCCAGATCGTTGTGCAGGTCTGATCTGCAACTACAGGAAACGTTTGGTTGAGGTTATTGCTGCCAAAGGAGGGTCAACCAGTTATTAAGTCCAAAGGTTCACATACTTTTTCCTCCCTGCACTGTGAATGTTTACATGTTATGTGCAATTTAAACCATGGCATCATCTAATGTTTGTGTAGTATTATGTTCAGCAGACTGTGTTCTTCTATTGTTGTGACTTAGATGACGTTCAGAGCACATTTTATGCCCAATTCATGCAAAACTCCATGTAATCCCAAGGGGTTCATATACTTTTTCTTGCAACTGTATATATATACAGTCATGGCCGAAATTGTTGGCACCCTTGATATTTCTCCAGGAAATCATGTATTTCTCACGAAACGTATTGCATTAACACATGTTTTGCTATACACATGTTTATTCCCTTTGTGTGTATTGGGACAAAACAAAAAAAGGGAGGAAAGAAAGCAAATTCGACATAATGTCACACAAACCTCCAAAAATGGGCT